CACCCCCCGCCCGACACATAATCTAGCAGAGAGGTCTTCAGCGGTTTTCAGTGACCAATCAATCAGCTATAACATGGTCGAGATCGGGATTCTGATTCGGCCACAGCTACTTCATAATCGATACCATACTAAGAATCCTGCGCAAGTTACCGTATATAGGAACGTCGGTTTATTGAGCACTACGCAAAAGACCCGACAGGGTAAACCATAACAGGGTAAACCTACGCAATTTACGCAGCATAACCTCAAGACCACGAGAGCCCCGTACTCGCTCAATAATTGTTGCTTACGGCAAAGACAGATTTTAAAAAAAAGTTCAGTTAGATGTACGTTTATAATTACCAGTTGTCATTGTCATTACAAGCACTTTTATTTTCAAGTGATTCAAAGTCCTTCCATTGACAACTCGGTTTTCTTTTCTCTTTCCGGCCTGGCGGGTCTTCAGCCTATCTAGGTTGAGAAAGGTATAATGTGAACCTGTATCTATCACACCCTGAGAAAAATCGTGTAATTTGAATACGCAGAAGTAAACGTTCCAACAATCCCGCCTCTTAAAAACATAATCAAAACCAAAACCAAAATAAAAAACCAAACACCCCGCCCCCACACACACACGTTGGTGGTATTAACGTCAGATTATTCATCACGGGATTTTCGTTAGAGCTTTATAAAAGCGGCATGGTGTTGCGTGTTGTCGTTATCATTGTCGTTGTCGTTGTTGTTGCTGCTACTGTTAGTGCAGTTGTCGTTCTCATTTCTTATTGATGCTTTTGTAGTTGGTTCTGCTGTAGTGTAGCTGTTTGGTTCTTTGCTGTCGCATGCAAAAGACCCTAAAGGATAGAATTTCTATCTACAGTGTCTCGATCGGTCGTTCTCCAGGGAAGACCTATCTCTCTCTCAGCTCACAGGGCCGTGATGGGCGGGCTCAGACGCCTGCCCCCCCCCCCCCCCCCCCCCCCGACTGACTTTAGAAATGAAGTAAAAAACGACACCTCCAGTCTCTGGAAGACACATTGTAGTAAACTAATCAACAATAACTCCACAATGTTATACTCAAATTGGGCCCACGAAAGCCTTCGGCCCTTTTCAGAAGAGATGAAATCATTAATTTTACTCGATTGCGTACAGGACTCACCTCTCTGACACATAATTACCTCCTGTATGGAAATGAGAAATAGGTCTGTGTCGTAATCACAGATTTCACTATTAGACACATATCAACAGAATGTCCGGACTTTGGAGAGATCCGAAGGAAGTATATGAAATGTGCACAATTATAAGATCTGTCTTCCGTCGTCGGTTTCTTATAAAATTCTCGATTTTTATAAAGGCCGTTGTAAATACGATTATTTTAATACTATGTAAATTGTCATTTTTAGATTTAGATTTCTACCAGGAATTTTTAACATTTTAATCTGATCATTGAAGCCGTGTTGTGAACTGTTGTGAATGCAACCGACTTGTTTCGCGCACCCATATGACCTGAAGCAATAAAATCTCTTATTGAACTAAAATAAGAAGTGGTAGTCTTAGAGAGACGAATGACTTGGATAGTGTCATTGTACTTGTACAGTCAGAATTGTCTAAGATGGTCATCCAGCATTGAGGAGAAAAGTGCTTGTCCCATGATGATGATGATGATGATGATGATGATGATGATGATGATGATATTGATGATGATGATGATGATGATGATGATGATGATGATGATGATGATGAGGATGATGGTGATGATGATGATGATGATGATGATGGTGATGGAGTAATTAATACCCAAATAACTCACAGATTTGAGGTCAAACTTGAGTACTTCCTTCATGTAGGTGGGGATCTGTGTGAGCATCATGTAGAGGCCGTAGTTACCGCACGTGTGGCCCACCATGATAGCCCAGAACGGAAGTGACGTGAAGATGGCGCGCCATGGCTTGGCTTGCTGTTGTCATGTGATATACAAAAATAGTAACTTGTAGTTAACGTCAAGCATATTATTGTTTTTATAAACGTGAATTTTATGGATATGTAAATCTTATGTCAATGTACTTATACATGTGCGTCGAACATATTTTACTGTAATTGTTTAACACCCCTATAGACGTACACAGTTAAAATCATGAAGTAGTCGAGCTTTGACTCTGACTGTCAGCCCCAATCCGGGCTGAGAGAGATACAACATCCCAGAAAAAAAGACTGAAATGCTTTAAAAAAGCCAACCTAAAAAACAAACAATCGCCCCCTCAAAAAAAAAATTAAAAAAAATTCTCCCCACACTTTTTCTAAGCAGGGCATCACAATCAATGATACCGGTTCTTACCTGGCAGTCCCCAACTTATTTACATATTTTATCCGGCCTCTGTGATCTCGCGGTGTCAAGGAGAGAAGCATGTCTTCTCTTGTTTGTTGAAAAGTTGTTTTGTTTTTGTTTATTGTATCTTTGACCGGTCTATCCGTCTTTTCCTTGGCCTTCCCTTTCCTTTGTGTCCACCTCGGGTTGTGTGCTCTCGCTGCTGTACTACTGTCTGGTAATAGTCCAAGGCCCACCAAAATTACCAAACGGTCCAAAAGCGTGCGATGTCGCCCTGGTTGGCAAGTACTCAGCTAGATAGCCTAGCTCTTATTTGAGATATACTTGCAATGTGTCTATTTCTTTTTTTTTCTTTAGTAAGTGTTTTACGGCGCTCGCAACTGCATAGAGTCATATGACAGCTCGGGACACATTAAACATTTTCAGTGGATAGGACATTTTTAAAATTTCCCAGGTGGCGGCATAAGCTTACTCTTATCGATTTTGGACCACCAAGGGATCTTAAACGTGCGCAACTTGCTCACGGGACCTCCGACATTTTTTGCCCTTATCCGAGAAGGCTAGGTGTAGATCTTACCTACCATAAGATCAGGGGTGTGGCTGAAAGACAGCAGTAAGAAGGAGCCAAGGAACAGTAGTAGACAGGCTGCAGAAAGCCAGAGAAGGGAGCAAAGGAGGTGTGGGGGCAGGGGCAGGAAAGGAAGTGAAAGGAGAAAATTTTAGAAAATTTTAATCTGGATTCGAACTCGAGACCTATTGAATGGGAGGCGTACACCTTAACCCTAGACCACAAGAGTCCCCTCTATTTCTAGACAGCAAGGTATTGCCTGAAAGAGATCACCAAATTGCATGACGCCTGTCAAGGCAATAGGACTGGGCAATGTGTCGCTTTTACATAATATGTTATGAACCGCTTCGGCAAATGGGTTAGAACCACTCTAACAAATGGGAGCACCCACTTCGGCAAACGGGTTTGGAAAGAGAGTTTAAGAGACTGAATTCGGATAATGTTTCATTGAGAATTATCCGGTTGTCAGGATATGTTATCCGGATTTTGCCTACCACTACAAGGCAAACATTTTGGAAGATATCACACGACATACCGTCGACATTGTCTAAGAGGGCCTTCCATTGCTGAGAAGAAAAAGTGGCCGTTTTAGTTTAGTCAAACTTTTACGGCACTTGTAACTCAAGTAAATGTAGGTCGTATAAAGTGTCGAAGATTAGAGGTTTCTCTAAGGAGTAACATACACACGAAAAGAGGTAGGAGAAACAAGGATGACAGACGTTTGAATGGAAAGGAAAAGCTTAGGCGGGTGGACGTCTTACACATCAGTGTCATAAGGACGAGATAAAATATAAGATATAAGATATAATGTAAGTTGTAAAAATGAAATATTATGCAAGAGGGAAAGTGGGAAGTGGCCGTTTGTACTGGTGATTGTCTTGTACAGATAACCGTTAGAGCAGGTTCGACTGTATTACACTGTATTTATTTCATGTGCCCAAATAATTATGATACATACATACATTCCGTGGGTGCTTGGAGGGTGCTCTGTTGTGGTTTGCTCCTTTTTTCTTATTTAACATAACATATCGTCCTTATCTCCCCTCCATCCTGTGTTGTTACTCTCTCGTAGCCCACTAATCTCAGCACGCAGCCCTAATATAGTCTAACTGTGTTGCAAGAGCCGTAAAACTCTTTCTTAAAAAACAAAACAACGAAACATCCCCCCCCCGAAAAAAAATGAAAATAAATTCAACCCAACAGAAAACAAAAACAGCAGCAACCAAACCCCAAAGAGATAATTTTAAAGAATATTTCGGCTGGATGCCATCTACATCCCTCTCAACTCGGGTT